TTTATCTTTTACTTCTAATTTGATTGTTCTTCATGCATGTGATCTCAACCAGTTAACCATGATAAGTCTCACCTATGAAAAGTTGCTATAATTCAAAACGCACCATGGATCTAAGTTGTTTACTTTGATGTTATATTTTTTAGGCAAAATACTTGCTTCTGTTGGCGTAAAAGATATCACTTTTTACATATCCTTTTAATTTCTTTATAGTTTTTTTACTTTTGTTTTAAAATGCAGACAAGAGTGTACGTGCATAGAGATTGTGGCATGTGCTTAATAACTCTATTAGAATGTAATATTTTTTTATGCAATCTCAACTTAAGTGAAGTAGTAGTTGTATATTTGCTGAAGTTCTTAGTGGGGAGCTCTTATTCCTTGGCAAAAATATAGTTCATTAGTTGGATTTAATAACAAATCTTCCTAGGGAACCTTTAATGGATACTATTTCACAAAGATGTAGTTCTACCTCACCATCTAAAACTTTTGCAACAGCTTTATATTATTAGTAGTAATTATTGTAATTGTTGGTTCGGGTGAGGAATGACATGATTCCCTTCCTTCTTGAATACATTACAATTCTACTACAACCCCTCCTAAGAAACAATGTAATTCGAAAGACTGTCAAACTGTAGTGGAATCAAGCAACTCAAACTAAAGACAACCTAATGAAGTTCCTAGCGTGAAGTCTGCTAAGAACCTTGCAAACACAATAGAGGACATACCCACCTATCTTCACTCTTTGTCATTCCTACCATGTTTACATAGCTTTCATTCTATTTTGTTTTTAATGCGTACAATCATGAACCTGTAACAGCAAAGCCAAGATAAGTCGTGACCCAAATATTGCCATGTGAGACCATCTGTTTTGGGATATCAAGGATGTATTAGGGATGGGTTAACACGGGGGAGTACTGTATAAAGAAAAGATTTTTTTGTTACACAAACACTATTTTCTTACTATATCTCAATTATGGGGATTACATGTTAGTAAAATTAAAATTCAAGATTCTTATTGTTTCATGGTGGATACCAAGAGCTATGGAAAAAGTGATTATGCAAATTGAAAGTTTTTTTATACACTAACCTTTTGAACTTAGAATATTTTTTTATAAAAAATAAATTAGTAAAAAATATAATTTCATAGCATTGATTATAACTCGTGATAATTGTGTTAAATGATATTAATTTTTCTTATAGTTAATGGTGATGTGCTGCATTTCAAATACAATTTCATATACCAAATAGACTCTAAACTAATTTTCATTAGCACATGTTATTTATTATATACTTCGTTTAAGTTTTGGTGGCACTTTTAGATTTTTTTAATTTTTTAATGAGTAGCATTGAAAAAAATATTACAGAATAAAAAATATTTGTTTGACCGGGTTGAACATACGGACACGTGGCACTATTATTGAATTTTCGGTGCTTCGTTTTCAATGCTTTTTTTCCTTTTATTAATCTTGCAAAATTTGTTTTTGGTCAGAAACTCAGAACTCCAATTTTTTTCTTCCATAGTCGGCTTTCTTCTCACCTCTTGAACTCTCAAATCCGATCGAAGAAGGAGAAGAAGAACACAATCTTCATCGCCAGTCGCTCTGCAATTGCAGTTGTTATAATAGTAATAGTTTTGTTGATCGGGCAGAATCGCCGGATTGAGAAGCTGAAATGAAATCATCATTTGGCAAACTGAAGAAACTGACGTTGCACAAGAGCGATGCGAAGGAGAAGAAGGATCACCACACTTTGTCCCTCTCCGATGGCCTCTCGCAGGCTTCCCATGTCTCTGATCTTTCTCTCTATTTAGTCTCTTTTGTTTTTCTTCATTGATTTTTTCGTTTTTTCAATATAAAATAAAAACTATGTTGATATTCACGAGATCGCCTAGGAAGATTTGAGTTCAGTATTTTTTGGTGGATTTTAGTTAGTGGTAATTCAGTCCCGAACATTGTTGATTAATCCGACAGAGTTCTGTTTCGCCTGAGTCAATTTTTCTTTGGGAAGTGGTATGAATCGAGAAATCTGATTTTCATTTTAAGTCGATTATATTTTTGATGCATGAGCTATGTGTTTTTTATGGATTACTTAATTTGTTTAATAGTTTCCATTATAGCTTGTTGGGAACTGCTGGAGTGCAATTTGGAATTATGTCACCTGTGAAGCTTACTTGTTTCCACGAGATTCACGGTTTTTAAACTGGCAATTTGAGTTTCATCTGATAATAAAGTTGTATCCATATCGGATTGAGGAAAATCGTGGGTTGTAGTGATTACAACTCACACCCCCACCTATTTTTGGGAACTTTAGAACTCTTCTTCTCATGTAGTTAGAATGCAACATATATTTCCCCTCCACCTTATCTTCTTCATCACTCTAGATTGGATTTTGAAACAGGATATGAATGACATGAAGAACTGCTACGACAGTTTACTTTCTGCAGCTGCAGCTGCAGCAAATAGTGCATACGGTATTTGATTCTTTATTCCCTCACCAAGTTTGAAACACTAATTATTACCATTCTAGATGGACTACGTTGGAACATTTCTACCATATTCTCTTTCCTCTTAGAATGGGTTGTTAACTTCATTTTAATACCCCAACAGACCAGGGTGATGTCATGATGTGGCATTATGTTCGGAACTAGCTTCTCGATTCAGTCTCTAATCTTTGTTTCCCTTTTGTGCTGGACTTAGTGGACTATATATTGTATGCATATTATTATTATTTGATAGAAGTGATAGAACCTTGTTGTGAATAAGACTCTTTTCATCACTTCAAGAAGCATCATTGTCATAAATTGTGATCATTATCAAGCATACTTTTCCTTTTCAGAGTTTTCGGAGTCCCTGGCAGAAATGGGGAATTGCCTATTGGAGAAAACTACACTCAATTGTGATGGAGATTTTGGTAAGAAACTACCTCTTTTCACAAAATCCTTATGTACATCTTTTGTTTTATTGGCTACATAAATGTTATTATTCCTTGATAAGTTTGGGCGGGAATAGAATTATGTTAGCACTATGTAATGCTTAGTTCTGATTGCACATGCAGGCAAAGCATTCTCGGCACTAGGAAGAGTGCAACTTGAACTGCAGAAACTTGTTGATGGATATGTTAGTGCATATCTTTTTGACCATATTTAATATTTTCTTTTGGATTTGGAATGATCAAGCTTTTGTTACTAATTTCACTTGGCATTGCAGCGTACTCATGTTATTGGAACAATCACAAACCCATCAGAGTCTCTTCTAAGTGAGCTCCGGAAAGTGGAGGTTTGTGTATTACTTACCTCTGCTTCTTTTAGTTTTATTGGGTTAAACCTCCTTTCCCCCTCCATGCCCCCCAGGCTCCCAGCTTAGTAAGTAATCACTCAGTAAGTTTCCATACCAAGGCTTAATCCAATTAAGCCTGTAGTGTCTACCAATTTTGCCATAACCCCTCCCCTTTCTTTTTCTCTTTTTCTGTTTTGTTACCTATTTACACTCAATTTGAAATCCTTAAAGGATCGGTTCACTCTTTTCTAAATCATTTCAAAATTATTAGAAAATTAATAATAAAATTAAGTATAATCACAATAAGCAGGTTACATCTATTTGAATATAAACTGTAGACTTTTAAGTAGGTATTTTACTTGAGTACATTTTAGATTCCACTTCAAGAAAAAGTATAAAAAAAGATTTCAAAATAAAAGATAAAATAAATGTCTCATTTTTGTTCTCCTCTATGTACTTCTAAACAAAGCATTGGAAATAGATATCGGCTCATCTATTGCATGATTGATATGCAAATGTTACTTGAAATAGCAGTTCACTGTTTATCTGAACTAGTTTAAGCACTCTTTGTTAGCATGGACATGTTTCTACATTTTTATCAACTAAGCTCACATGCATGGGTGTGTGGTAGGGGTTCATATTTTTTAATCCCAGTTTGATTAAGGGAATCATAGTCTGCCAGGTGGATCTAATTATTAAAATTTGGGAGTATTATTTTTCCTTCAAACTCAACCATTTTGAGTTGCGACCACTATAGCCTATGGTTTTTAAAATACCACAAACTCCCCACACTTCAAAGAGACCTGAATCCTGTATCGTGTGGTTTTTGTGGGTGTTTGGGAATTGGGAGCAACGGGATAATGTGGCCACCACTCAAGAAGTTTGGATATCTGGAGTGCAGTAAGCCTAAAAATCTATAATTTAAGCAGTTAGATACTTATTATCAGGTGAGCCATTATCCGGGCTTCCCGGTGACTCAAGCAGTTTGAATGTGGGGATTCTAAATAGATTTTATAATGTTTAGTGAGTCACACATTCTTTATTGGTGCAGGAGATGAAACTACAATGTGATGAGAAGAGGTATAATTTTTGTTGTTGATCTGAGATGATGTTTTTCCCATGCTTTTGCCAAAACCTCTAAGCAATGGCTTCTTACTTTTCAAAGGGAGGTGTATGAGTACATGATTAGTAAGGGAAAAGGTGGAAAGGGTGAGAGTTTTACTCCACAGCAATTACATGCTACTCGTGAAGAACATGATGAAATGGCAAGATTCTGCATTTTCCGTGTTGAATCTCTGAAGCAAGGGCGATGTCACAGTCTTTTGACCCAAGCCACTCGTCATCATGCTGCACAGGTGTTGTGTTTTCACAAATTCATAACTTTACATCATTAGAACATACTTGCCCTTTTTGAGCAATTGAGTACTGTTCCAAAACACTTATTACAATTATTTGTTGTCCTACAAAAAGAGTCTAGTTTGATCTCCAGAATCTAAATTTGCGTGGATCTCGAGAAAAAAAACCATGAAGTGCCATTGACAACATATGAGAAATTTAGTTGAACCACAACAACAACAACAAACCCATTAAAATCCTACATACTATAGGGTCTAGGGAGGGTGTGTGCATGCATACCTCACCCCAACTCGAAAGTAGAGAGGCTGTTTTCAAGTGACCTCCAACTTGAGCAAACCCCAGCTCAAGCAATTAGTTCAACAAGTAAAATTTAAAGTTATTAGTATGACTCATGATTTATGACCACTTGCCAGTGCCAATTGTATCTTACCAAAATCTTAAAGTTGTATATTGATAACTTATTTGGTGATGGAGGTAGCATCTTTGTTTTCAGTCTACTAGAGCTTTTTTCTGTTCATTGAACAGTTGAATTTATTCCGGAAGGGGCTCAAATCTCTTGAATCTGTTGATCCACAAATAAGGATGGTTGCTGGTAAGCAACACATAGATTTCCAAATAAGTGAAGTAGATGGTGCAAGCAACGGTAGATCTAAGAGCTATGATGGTGGCGAGGAAGGGGAATTGAGTTTTGATTATAGAACAAACAAGGTGGAAATAAGTAGTCCTTACAGCTTGAGAAACTCAATTGAGGTACCCTTTTCTGTCTTGGTGCAGTTTTCATTCTTGTAGTTTCGTCAGTGTGATATCCACCACCTCCACCTTATTCTGAACAATGCTGGGGCCGCTGACATGATAGTATCAATTAATTATCTAAAATTAGTTAACACAATTTATTCATGCAAAAACAGTGACAAAAGTTTACTTCTTACAATTTGAATAATGAAATGAATTTCCAAAATCATTGTCGTCATAGGCTCTGTTCATTTGCTTTGAAAATATAACTAGACAATGATGAGTTGACATAGCTGCTATAGTCTCGTCTCATTACAATATTATGAACACTAAGCTCAATATGTACATCATGAAACACAATCAATTTTAAAAGTAAAATTAAATTGCCTTGTTTCTTCCAGAGATTGACATTGATGATAACTTGATTAGTGTTTTTTGGTCTGATGTGATGCATTCTGCAGTTTGATCATGTAGATGCTCCTATTACACAAACTTCAGGCATGGAAGAAGTTGAGGTGAAAATTTCCTTCACAGATCAGTCGTTTTAACTTTAGTTATCAAGTATAGTATTTATTTTGTTTGATCTAGTTTGTCACGTAACAAATCATGTGGACACATTTGCAGTTAAATTTCAAACCCCAAGATCATGTTTTTAACAGACCGTCTCGGGTCAGTAGTCATTCTGCTCCAATTTTTGCGGAGAAGACGGATATATCTGAAAGGATTAAAGAATCTCAAACATCTGCACGGAATTTTCATACATATGTGCTACCAACTCCATCAGATGCAAAAACCTCAACAGCTGCAAGGACAAGTTCGTTTTTTCCTTTAAGCACTTCGAATGTCAAAGATGATAGCTTGTTGGTTCATGCATCTACAAAATCTCAATCAACATCCACAGAAAGCAACAGTAACAATATGTCCACCCCGCTACCCTGTCCTTTAGAGGGAACTTTGCTTCAACATATCGAGTCACAAAATAATACATTTGATATGAAAAGGGGAACAAGAATCTCTTTCTCTGGTCCCATATCAAGTAAATCATCATCATCATCATCATCTAACAAGCCTTCAATATCTGTTAGTGGACCTATTGCATCTGCTGAGAGGTCCCACCAGCCAGAATATGGATTCACTTATGGAGCACCAAGAGCCCAGCCCATAGATGTTTCTCGCAGTGCCTCGCCTCCTCCCCTTGCGGCTTCACCAAAAATAAGTGAGCTGCATGAGCTCCCTCGCCCACCTGCCTCTTTAGTTCCCAAGCCTTCATGTAGCTCAGCTGTGATTGGACATCCCCGTTTGGCGGGTTTAAAGCCAGGCTCTTCATTACCTTCACGACATCTTTGTGTTTCCAGAAGCTTCTCCATACCTTCCAGCAATCATAGATCAATTGGTTTAAATGAGCCCCAGCTAGTGGGTTCTCCAAATGTGAAAGATAGTCCTGAAGTATCATGTCCCCCATTATCACCTATTTCACTGTCAAATATTTCAACATTCTCAGTAGTAGCCACCAGTTCTGGCCAAATCAGAGGTACTAGTATTTCCAATAGTATGTTCGAATGAATTGCATACTAGAGCATCCTCTCTTCTGTGCAATGGCCTATTTGTTCTATATGATTACAAAAGCTGAGCATGTATAATAATGAGATAAAATTTCAGAACCATCAATGTAATTGATAGACCCCATCTGCATTATGGCGCTTTCTATTTTCTGATTCAAAATCTTAACTCCAGTGAACGCAGGTGGAAGATGATCGACCTTGCCACTCTGGCAAATGCGGCAAATGCACCCAGTGGCTTCAGACCTCTTGTGGTTCTCTTCTCAGAGCAGAGTTTGTTGATGGCAACCCGTGTAAATGTTGTAAGCACTTGATATAAAATTACATCATGTTTCGTTCAAGTTGTTCTTCCTCTTTAGTATACATATTAGAGCATCGTATACATCAAGTTTTGACCACTCGTCACTGCCTAGACCTGCAAGTTTTCTCCGAATTAACCCTCCCCTGCTGTTGTGTCAAAATCAAACACTCCATTGCACGAAGTGAAATGCGTTATTCATTTTCTCATTTCTTTAAGTGTTAACATGACGGAATGTTTGTACTAAGTAGCAACAGGTGTTAAATTGAGGAACCCACAGATGTTTTGTATGGCGTTGATGTATTGTACTAATTCGGGAAAATGATGCTTTTGATCTCTCAAAAATGTAGCTCCAATTGTTGTTAATTTAGCTGTCAATCTATTGTTGCTAAATTATTTTTAATCTTTGAGGACATAGCAAGGTGGCAATGACCATTTCGGCCACACTATCAAAAGAAAAAACTTCCGTTTTGGTTGATTGACCATTTCGCTCTTCCTACTTTTGTCCCTTTTTTTTGGTCCATGAGACCATGACTACAAATTGTTCGGATTTAGAAATGACTAAAAGTGGCAAGTTCATATTTATGACAAATTAAATTTTATGTTTTTTTGGGATAATAAACGAAATAATATCAGCTTGATTTTTAAAACTATGGTTTTAATCTATCTTAAGTATTTTTCTACCGAATATATTCTTTTATTAATTGTCAAATTATATTTAAAATGTCAAATTTCAACTAAATTAACGAGTAATGATATAAAATGTATAATTTTTAGGTGCAACTATGTTAATTGATGAATTTCAAAAGAGGAATTTACGTAAATAGCACTAAAACGTAATGACTTTCCCTAAATAGCACTACATATGTTCTTTTTCTCAATGTAGCACTTTTAGGGGGTATTTGTTTTTTCTGCAGGAAAAGGTCTGCAGTCTGCGGACCACTACTGTAGACATCTGCAGGAGAAGTGGTGGACCGAAGGTCTGCGGTCTGCAAGAAGAAGACTGTTTGTTTTTTAATGTCTGTAGACTGCTATATAAATTAATGGTGGTAGTGTACAGTGGTGGTGTATGGACGATTGTGGCGGTGGTGGAGGGTGGTGGTGAAGGGNAAGATGTTAGAAGACATAGGTTAATGTCTTCTCCAAGAAGATGCCAGAAAGACCTTTTTGAGTGAAATGTCTTCCAAAAAACAAACAATCTGCAGAGCTCAGCATCTGCGCGCGTCTGCGCGGCGCAGACAAAAGAGGACAGAAGCTCTTCTGGCCAAAAAACAAACACCCCTTAGTCATTATTCAATAGTCATTATTCAAGTAAATGTTTGTCATCACTGGTCATTATGGACATTATTAAGTGCTATTTAGGGAAGAAAACAATCTAAGTGCTATTTAGAGAAATGATTAAGTTTTAGTGCTATTTACTGCAAATAGACTTAAGTTTTAGTGTTATTTATTGCAAATATTTCATTTCAAAATACTCCTTATAAACATAAAAATTAAAATCACTCATTTTTTGGGATCATTTTTTTCTACTAAAAATGGCAAGTTCATATTTATTCACCAAAAAGTATGGAAAAAAACAGAAAAAATTGATCCCAAAAAACGAGTGATTTATGTTTATACGGAGTATTTTGAAATTCAACAATTGACATAAATGCACTTAGAAATTATACATTTATATTTATATCATTACTCGTTAATTCAGTTATATATGGGACATTTCAAATATAAGTTATCACTTAAGATAGATTATAACCATAGTTTTAAAAATCAACTTGATATTATCTCCTATATTATTCTAAAAAAACATAAAATTTATTTTGTCATAAAATTTACTTTGTCAAAAATCGTGCGACTCCAATGGATGAAGGTCAATGGAAAAAGGTCAACTTGAAATTGCAATTTGCTTGTATTTAAATGATGGTTTCTTCATGTTTAATACGAGTACTTTTTTAATCCTTCTGAGTTCATCAGATTTGCTTTTTACACATAGACTAAAAAATTAAAAAAAGATGTTACAAATATGCCTTATCTTTTTGTAAAAGTGAAGATTGGTTAGATAGGTTGAATGTAATAAATGTGTAGTAAAAATAAAATGAGAAATTTATTTTTTATTGTTTTGCTAAATAAAGAAAGTGAACACATTTATAGGGAAAATTTGAGAGAAGGAAATTGAACAAACTCATTGGACAAAGAACAAATTAAAAGATTTATATTTTTTAAAATTTATATTTCACAATTTTTGACTAAGGTTTTTTCCGGTCGCTTTATGACACATTCAACAATTTGCTTTCTTTTTTTATACCCTTGCGTCAAAAGGTGGAATGGCTCACCTGAGATGTTCCACAATTTTTATGTGACAAGATTGTGAAGAGATAAATCATGATAACTCAACTACTCAATTGGTCAATAGAATCTGAAAAAAAGATGAAGGTGTATTTACTCATTCAACATCCAAAATGGACAAAAATATTTTATTTTATCATATACCTTATAATATCTCATCTCATCAAATTCTTATCATTTCTTTTTCACATTTCAACATTTTTCTTAAAATTAATCAAAGTCAAAGGTAGAAAAGGAGGGAGTATCATTTTTTAGAGTATATTTCTAAAATGATCCTCTCTAATAAGTCGTTTTCCCAAATCAGTAATCGATAACTTTTAATTACCTATGTAGTTCTTTATGATTGAGATTTATTCTCTAGGTAGTTCTTCGTAGATAATGTTGCTCAAATGATGGTTAATGAGGGGTATTTTGGTATTTTTATGAACTAAATTTAGAATAAGTTCTTAAAATGATCATTTCTAATCAAATGCTTTTTCAAATTTATTTTTTCTAATTAAAGATGTGTATTTGATTCAAATTTTAAAATATTTTTATAGGTTTTTAATAATTCGTATATTATGTATAGTCAATGTATTGTTTTAATTTTATATTTAATTGTATATAAGTGATCATTTTGAGAATATACATTAAGTTTAGATGACTCCTTAATTAATCATCATTTGAATAATTTTATACTCTTTGTCTAGTGTATTTGTCTAATTCGACTTTTTAAAGTCAATCTAGACAAACTTTGAGCTTCAATTAAATAAAAACCATAATGTATTTTAACATAAAAATGACTTTATTTGATTTATCGTATTGAGAACTTTCAAAATTGTATTTCATTATGATAATATGCAATATAAATTGAGAGTAATTGGAGTTTAAAGTTTGTTCAGTTTGACTTGAAAAAGTCAAACTGGACAAATATATTGAGACAGTATATGAAAGACTAGCAAAAAGATAAATCTCAATTATAAAAGACCACGTAAGTAATTAAAACTTATTAGGATTTAGATAATAAAAACTTATGAGGACAATTCAAGTAAATTGGGTAAATATTTTTTCACAAAAGATCATGTTAGAAATTTACGGAGGGAGAATTCTTTATCTTTATCAAAATCAAGCTTACATAGCATTATTCTGAACTCTGAAGAAGAAGAAGGCCACGCTTCAAAAAGATTCACGAATGGAGATAATACGAGCCTGTGGAGGTGGTTTCCATTGCTGCAATGCATTCAATTTGCTCCACCCCATCTCTATCTCTCATCCTCCGTTTCGAGTAAGTGCTCCCGCTACTGACTTGAATCTGTCCATGAAGCCCAAACTCCATCGCCGGAAATCCACTGCGCGGTCACTTCTCGGCGACCGAAATTCCGGTGAGACGATAATCCTAGTCAAGACTTCCAATTTACTGATTTTATTCTGTTTTCTTCCCGCCAACTGCTCGACGGTGTTTCCACTTGAGTTTCCAGATTTCGCAGCGAAGGGATCAAATGCAGACCTATCGTTGTCAGTAAAGGTGAGACGATCCTCCGTATGAAATGAATGGACGTGAAGCTTGCTATTCTTCTTCATAGTTTGGTATTGTTAGAAGAGCACTGCTTTTAACGGTTTAGTTCTCATCCAGAAGATGGCATCGGACATATCTGTTGATATGAAAGGAACTTCTGTGTTTCTCCTTGGTGAGCATTATTACACTTGAAACAACGGTTTCCCCTCATAGATCATGCTTGTTTTGTTTCTGTTTACTTATTTGCCAACACAATTTTTTTATCCATATTACACTTTTGGATCTTACCGGAGTATGAATTTATGCAGTCGTGGTCATCAACAATACAACACAAAACAAAACCAGTTATAATCCCAACTCTATTGGGGATTGCTCTCGTAAAATATACAGTGGCACAGTGCTTATTTTCTACCCAAATCTTCATAGGATGTAATAAGGGAAGGAAATTTACAGTGCCATTTAGGTGTACAATATTAATCTTGTAATGCTACACAACTATCAGTAGTGTTAACTAATTTTGGACAATTGATTGACACATACATTTCATACAAATGACTTTAACATAGCTGGGATTAAGGTGATGATGAACTGATTATCGTCTCTAAATCTGTTTTTAAGGAATGAATAGTTCCATTAAATCCAACTTGGGGATGCTTCTTGCCGATGCATTGAGATACCATTACATTGACAGGTAAGCAGATAGTTGTAACTACCACATTTTCATTTCCTTGATTGTTAACCTATGGGAGTTTGGTGCAGTGATAGTGTAGTTGAAGAATCTATTGGAGGAAAGACTGTCGCAACATCAATTCCTCAAAGTGATGAAGGATTTCAAGAAGCAGAGGTGAGTTAGTTTTAATATTTTGTGCTTTATTGATTTATGGTTTTTTTCAAATGTGTGACCATGGGGCACATGGTGAGAAGAAATTGAGGATCATTTAATGTGTTCCTTCTTTACCCTTGAATACATAGTACAGTAATGTTAATAAATTTATCTTGATAAATGATAATGGTGACAGATGTATAAATTTTAGTGTTAATTGTATTGGTTTATGGAACCACATTCATTTTTTTAAAAAGATCTTGTTCTTTCTCAAAACTTGAAAATGAACCCCATCAAATGATACTCATCATGTGGTAGTTAGTCTGGGGAATTCATGATGAGTTTCACTTATGCCTTAATGCCTTATGGTTGATTTAGTGCTATACTTTGTATGTTCAAATTATGTATTGAAGACAGAGGTGCTGAGGCAGCTGTCATCTATGGGCCGACTGGTTGTTTCTGCTGGAAATGGTGCAGTTCGGTCTGCAACAAATCTGTACGAGCACTGCTACTTTTACTCATTTTGTTTTTATTACTCTTAGACTTTTCTAGTGGGATTTTGGAGGGTGGAACGGAGGTGGTGGAGCTATAAATTCCTTCAAACTTCTCCTAACTCGCTCCCTCAATTTGTTTTTTTGGGGGGAGGGGGCTAAGATTTTGGGGAGTTATTTATGCTTACGTTAACCTTTTTTAATTCAAAAAACATTGCTCTGCATTATTAATGTTATACTTGCATCTTCATATTTTTTCTCACAACAAAATTTACATCCCTCCCCCTATTTTGAACCAAACAAGGTCTTAAACAATGGTTACACTTGCACATTTATTTACTCCTGATTGACCTATATTCTAGGGGACTTTTACGACACGGGATATCTGTATGGATAGATGTTCCTTTAAAGTTGGTTGCGAGAGAGGTCATGGAAGATAAAGTTCAAATGCCTGCATTTGAAATTCCAATCGCTGGATCTTATTCTGAGGTTTAGAGTTAACAATTCAACGTTGATTCAATTCATTTTGTTTCAACTTAGATTGGGGAGATTTATCAATAAATCATTGCTCACACCAACTTTGTGGAGTCCTTGAGGTTCTGAATTGATTCTTTGTAACAGGTGTTGGCTCAGTTGACTGGCATTTATGAAGAAAGGCAGGGTGGATACGCAACAGCTGACACAACTATCTCACTCCTGAGTAAATATCCATTCTGTGCTTTATTTATATAACAGTTGTCATCACCGTCACCACCTTAATCCCAGCTACAATGAGCTATGAGCATCAACTAATTACTTTTTCAAATGATGTTAACACTTTAAGTTCATGAAAAAAAAGCGCTGTAAGATTCCCTTCTAAGGAATCTAAGGAGAGAACAATAAGACGGAATTCCAAAACTGATGTCATCATAGATTTATCCAGTTGCATAAAGATAATATTAACGCGACAATGCTTTGAGATAACTGTTATAGTCATATCCCATTGCAGAACTGGTACTAACTCTGTAAAATATCAATCTTAATCATAGTTTAAAAATAGTTTGTAATTTTAACTCAACTCTAGCATGCTTAATTTTCTTGAAGCAGTTTAGAAAAAACTGACATCAACTTCAATTAATACTTCGTATTACATTGTTTTGTTAAAAGCATTCCTTGTTTGCCCAAAATAAGTTTTGAAGCCTCAAACTTTTTTCCTTTTTCTTCCTTTGGTTTCGGGTTTGGGCGGGTAGTGCAGGTGGTATTATTCCAATGCACACCATGGAATATGACATCATATTTTCTTTGGCAGAAGTGGCTTCTCGATTGGGTTATGACAATCTGGAATCTGTTGGCACAGAAGAACTGTGTTTGGAGGTTTCGCCCCTTTTGCACCCACTATTTGTTGTTTGATTTAAGTAAGCGTATTTATCGGTCACTATAACTAATTTGGCAAAAAAATGCACATTTTTTTCCATTCTTTTTATGGTGAGATATCAGGTTCTGAAAGAGATAAGCAAATTGATGAGGGTAAAGAAGATGATGGAAGATGCTGGGAGGCCTTTTTAAGTTATGTGAGTTTTGCTAATACTTTTCCATCACTCCAATGACTTGCTGCATTTGGTCCTACTGCAACATTATGATGTAGGAATTCATTTTTCTATGACCAAATTTCATACCCAAGATACTTTGTGCTATGCATCTCCCATACGAAAAGCGACGATGATTTTGAACTTGGGATCCGTTTGATGGGAATACGGTTGTAAAAATATTGAATCAATCCAAACATACACATTTTGATTCGAATTAGATTATGTTTTTCTGGACGCAATGCTTTTGACTGTTTCATTCTGAGGTATTTGGCTTCGTCAACATTAGTGGCTCGCATGGGTAGTTTAACTGGTCCAAGGAGAGGATGTCAAGCCCGTTGATTCTAGGGCCGAATCCTGGCAGCGGCAGTGTGGAAGTTCTATTATTTGTAATAGCTCCTTGTGCGCACCGGGCACGGGGCGGCCTCTCTAAGGGCCATATTGAGATTTTATCATTATTTACCTCCCTCACAATCCTGTCGGGCCGGGGTGTGGGGCACCCCGGGGTGGGCATTTTCCTATTTAGCTTATTTATTGAAGAATGAAATCTCGAAAGTTGAAATTTATGGGCACAGGAAGAGAGAGAGAGAGAGAGAGAGAAGGACGCATTTGCCACCACATGATGCGTGTCTGTCTGTTAGAAAGCAGTCGTCACCATATCATCATCTTCCCCAAATCAATGACTCGCATCTATTCTTTCCGCATAATGTACAAATCTATGGAGCCCATATTGTTATCATATTGTTTGTACATGACCTGTGAAATATATGGTACGGAACTTTGGTGTGACCAGACTTATGGTTTGTTTGGATGACTTGAGAAAATGGTGAGAAAATGAAGAGAAAATGAAGAGAAAAAATGTAGTGTTTGGATTGTTAGAAAATGATAAAAAAAAATGATGAAAATATAAAAGAAAAAATGGAGAAGGAATGCTCTTTCTTCTCATCATCTATGGTGAGAAAACTTTTCACACTTATTTTCTTTCCTCCCTCCATTTTCTCACATACCCAAACAAGTGAATTTGCATTGATTTTCATGTTTTCACGCTACTTTCTCATCATCCAAACACAGCCTTAGGGCTTGTTTGGCAACAACTTCAATGTTTTGAAAAAAATAACTGTTGATAATGTTTAACTTTTATTTTTTGAAGAAAATATAATCTACAATATTAAAAGGTTATCGAATACTTTATTCCCAAACAAGATTTTGTCAATTGTATTTTTGTATGGAATTGAATGATGCATTTAATTTTTTCAATGCACGAACTTGGCCCGAGAAAATAAGAAAAATTAAATTTCATATAACTTGATTTTATAAGGGCTTAAAAAATAATGAAAGATAGAATTTTGAACTTAAAAAAATGAATTTTGATTTTAAAGAGCAGGCAAAGCATCTCAAATTTAAGAATTCAATGTAAGCAAGTCTTTGATATTAATTATTTTTTATGAAATGATAAATGAAAATATATAAGTAAATAAAAAATCATCATAACCATGAAATAATAAATAAAAATTTTATTTGAGAATAAGGGAGTGTATTTTAAGGGTTCACATTTCATAATATTTACTGCATACTTCGGAGTAGATTTTGTTGATAGGCATACATTTCCTACTTTCTCAATTTTGTATTTTGAATATGGAGTACTGTTTTACAAACAACAACAATAAAGCTTTATCTGCTAGGTAGGATCGGCTAAATGAATCAAACGACGTCATTGCGCTCTACATGGAGTATTGTTTTACAAAATTTTATAAATAAAAATAAGTGACACCATTTCCATTTTTTTACTTAGTAAAAAAAGAAGATAATGGAGGAAAAAAACTATACTAATGGCATATATCCAGTAGTTGGGAGAAGGCCTAAGAACTCATAAGAATAATAATAAGCCTAAGCATAACAACCAAACCGGCTTTTCTTCCACATTTTTTTTATATTGCTTCTTCAAAAACTCTAACCCCAGCTTTCTTCGTCTCTAGATGATGAATTGGTGATGATCGAAGCTTGTTTGGATGCATATGTGTAGCAGTAGTAGCAGCAGAGAACGCAGATCGCTCGCGCCCTTGCATCACATCCACATTTTGATCGGTGATGAGTTGTTTTTGCTTCGATGGCTTTGTTTTGCTTGCAACTGGCTGCGATCAATCATACCAAACAAAAACAAAAAAAAATTGCTTGTTTCGTATATAATCGATGAATGATTTGAAATTATATTTTAATTTCTTACCAATGGATGCCATGATTTCAATTTTTTTCTCTGATTGCGCAGATATGCACATAATTGATTGTTCATTTTAGGAGGTTAGCTGATCATATTTTTTTTAATCCGGATTCTTTTCACCTTGCTTTCGATGGATCTCGCGTGTATTGTTGTTTAATTGATCGGAATTCAAAGGCAGTAAAAGATTTCCGCATTTTATTTCTCCCGTACTGATCAACATTCCAGTGGATTTGTGGTTATGTGAGATTTCTTGCTCTAAATTGTTCATCTAACAATTTTCTAATTGATCAATCATGTGACGGCTCTATTTATCTATGTATGTTTGTATCTATCCCTCTAAATTTTCATTTAACTTTGTGTTCTGCATTCAATTTCAGGCCAAAGCATCAGTCTCTTGCAAGAGCGATGCGCTTTTCCTTACCAGCACAGAAGGTCAGAAGATATGTTCCGGACACTATCTTTAAATGAAAAGGTGCTGCTATAATTTTCGGGTGGTTGTTTTGTGGAGTGGAAGATGAGGTGATGGTGTTTTCCATTTTTGTTGGTGTGTGCTTAGATTGATTGGCTTTCAAGATGTTTGTACTTTGTAACTTGCAAACTGTGGCGTTCATACATAATTCATCTGCATTGGAGAATTAAGTTTATGAAACATTTGGCGTTTCGTGTGGACAAAGAATCAGGATTATCGGGAACAAGAAGAAAAGAATTAGTCCTTTAAGGACAAAGTCAGAGAGATGGGTCTGCTTCGCATCTTAGCCGATGACGATCCTGCTCATGAGGTGAAAAGCTTAATAGTTGAATCTACGTCCACATCCTCCCATTTTGCTGTCTCGGATCATTTCCCTGGAAGACACTCAGTAGTAGGCATATCCTCACCTAGAGGACTAGTTAATAGCAGCTTTGGAGATTTCAAGTGTAAAACCACTGCAGAGTTACCAAAATTTACAAATAAGATGTTTGAGAGTGAAGGGATGGGGACCGAAGAGAGCCACCCCCTGTCCAGGAATGCCAGTCACAACAGACTGAAGCCAGGGGTCCTAACAGATGGACCTTTTCTAATTGATAAGGAACTGCCCACATTTAATTGTGTGCCAGAATATGCAACAAATGAATATATGGCAGATCTGATGTCTACAAGAATGGTGACCTCATCCACCATTTCTTTATCACCCCTCTGCCCAAACGTTTTTGAGAAGAAGAAAACAGCATGCAGTGGCAGAAAGATGGTCAAATGCTTAGAATATCCCTTAGGTGGTTTCTTTCCTTCAGATGATGGGGGTTTTAAAAATGGAAGTGAATCATGTAAAGAGCCTGACATCTTCAAACAAATTCGGCCCTCATTTCCTGAAGAAAGAAATCCTGGAACGAGTTGGCCTTTCTCTTTCTCTCACAGGGTGGACACTGCAACACAATGTGTAATGGCTATAAGTGTGAGACGCCCCCCTGTTAGAAGGTCACTTATTGGTTCATTTGAAGAATCCTTGTTGTCTGGCCGGCTATCATCTGGAAGATTTAGTAAGGTACTTATTTCTTATTTTCAATGATAATCATGTGTCTGGCTTGTTATGCAGTCATTAAATAAACATTCTTAGCATTGGACAACTCCCATGTACAGAAAATAAATGGTTTTCTAGCTGTATTGAGTGTTACTGGAGGACATTTCTCTCCAAAATCTAGGAAACTACCTTTTTCGGTTAGCAGCATTGATGTTGAGAGATGCCTACTGTACTATGCTTCTGTTGATCTTGCTGGACCATTATCATCTGAAAACTACAGAGGAAACAATTTGAAGAGAGGAATTGGTGATGACGATTCAAGAAATGAAAAGGGCCGCTTCCGTATCCCAATGAAAGGGCGCATACAATTGGTAAACCACTTTCTTCTTTTTGGGTAATATTTTGGTTCAGTTTTCTTAGTGGCTCTTGCATAACACTCAGATATTGAAGGCAGGGATATGCTATTGAGCATTATTTCTATGCATTGCCAATGTATTTTTTTTTGGGTCAAGTAATTGTCTAAAAATATTTAACAGTGTTAATTCATGCAAAAAGCAGAAGGCTAGTGAGAGCATTTTCTCGGATACCCTTCTTGTGGCAACTTCCTAAAGGAGCGGGTTTGAGATTAATTTCAACTGTTATCATGATATCATTGTAGATTTTCCCCACCTACATAAAAAATATCATGAAATTACAGTGAGTTGATATTTGCGGATGTCATATCCCATTGCAAAAAAAAGTGTTTGAATTTTCTGCTGCTCTTTTCATTTTTTCTATAAGTTCTTTATTAAATTGCAATTCCTTGAACGCATTTTCCTTTTTATCTGTTTGTGATTTTCCTATCAAGCACATGGTTTTAAAACATATTCAAATACCGCCTTGGACCTTGGTGCGAGTTTGCAATGATGGCAATTTTTTTTGCAGGTTTTAAGCAACCCGGAGAAGACACCCGTGCACACTTTCTTTTGTAACTATGATTTATGTGACATGCCAAGGGGTACAAAGGTGAACACATGTTTCTAGCCGATTTAAATTTCTCTTTGGCTTTTGTTATTTTCTTTTAAAGCAATATTCATCTACACATTTTTTTGTCTAATATTTTTTACATCTATGAGCTGCAACACTATCAAGCCTGAAAAGGGCAAATGATCATAAGTAAAGAATCAACGGAACCAATGTTTTTCTGTGCAAATGTTTCAGCATTTCCACTGAAGCACTAACTTATATTTTCTAACAATAACTTGGCTTCATTAGTGACCCTAATTCATCCTTGATTCACTATATATATGTTAAGACATTCTTGCGCCAGAAGATCTTGCTCTCTCCGTATGGCTCAAGCTGTCCAGGTGAGAAAAAGGATAGCAGTGAGGGAGTGAGAAAACCCACTGCTTCTTCTCCAAAGGTTAATAAGAACGGAAACACAACTGGTCCGGGTGATGTGATTCGATATGCTCTTCATCTACGGTTCCTGTGTCCTCAAAAGAAAAGCACCCCCCGGTCTGCCCAAAGATGCAAACCCGATAATCCTCAATCTTTGTCTGAAAGAGGCAAAGCAAGTGATAAAGACGACCGGGTGTTCTATCTGTACAGCGATTTAAGGGTTGTATTTCCACAACGCCAATCAGATTCTGAGGAGGGAAAGGTATATATGTGCTTGAACGGATTTGGATCTGGTGGACTCATCAACCATCCTGATGGAATCTGAAACACACAATTGATATCATAAGATTCCATGTGGCTGGTTGGTCGAGTACGTAAATATCATATGATAATATAGAACTTGTTTGTTGAACCTCATTTTTGGCTTATTAACCAATTTTTTCGCCAAATACGTACCGACATACTTTCTACTCCTATTTATTACGTACGGAGTATCAGATAGTATTTTCTTACATACTTTCTTTTAACATCTCTTTGGTTGCTTGTGTGCCTCTCTACTTTGTGAGTTGACAAAAATAAAAATGCGGAACTGATGAAGAAGGTTTTATTTGGTGGTTGTGGTTGCAGCTGAAGGTAGAGTACCATTCTCCAGAAAACCCAAAGTACTTTAACATTGGTTGCTGAGTTAGTCACATGCCCCCCCTACTTGTACATACATACATAAATACTCCGTATAATAATAATAACAGTATATAAAGTAGGTAGTAGTTTTATATATCTACTGCATGGTCGTGCAAGTTGACATCTAAGTTAATGTGTAAAAGTTTGTTTCTTTTTTTTAAAGGTATTTTTATTGCTCAAAAGCTAGTTAAGGAAAAAGAAAATGAGAGGGGAAAATTATTTTTTAATTGTCCCGACATACTTTCATCCTAGAGTGTTTGTCCAATTTTGATTTTTTTTAATCAACCAGTATTTATATTTAAACAAAATTTATATAGTACGAGCATACTAATTAGATAAAACATTGTTTTGGAAATATCTAACAAGATGAATCTTATAAAAATTATGTTTATGATTAAAGTTTATCAATTTTGATTGGAAAATTTTAAAATTGAACAAACACCCGCAGAAGTAATAATTAAAGGTCGATTGAAATTTAAATGCAAAAGTAAAAGTGTCACTCTCCATTTGGGATGGTAAGGAGTAATAAAAAGGGATGGACCCCGTAAGTGTTTGATCTTAAATATAATGAATGAGGTGCGCAAAACAGTTCAACCCCAAGTAATTAAACTCTTACACACATGGTTCATTGAGACTAACCATGTACTGTTAAATGTCATTATTGATCATTGGCATGTCCTTCATTATCTTTGAAGTTAACTATTCATCATCATAATCCCATGTGTATATTATAAATACAATAACACAAGACCAAAACAAAAAAAAACAGCAATAATGCTTTGGTGCATGTAGCATAGGTGGTGTCTGTGATTTGTGATTAGAGATCAGTTGTTGTATTTGTATGGGTGTTGAGGAGGGAAGCAAACAAGAAATGAGAGCAGACTAGAGCTCAAAGGTGGGGACCGGAGAACGAAAGCCGCCATGGGTGGCCTGATAAAGCAGTCGAGGTAATAAACTCCTGTACGGATCCCTCTCTCTCTTCTCCTTCAAATAAGCTATGCATTTGCTCACTTCCGATTTCACCTCCGTGTACACTTCTTGCGCTTTCTCCCGGCTTTTCAGCTCCTCTTTCCTTCCTGCAACATCATCCTTTTAACATTTGATATATATATATATATATATATATATATATATATATATATATATATATATATATATATATATATATATATAGAGAGGACACGGAGCAATTTTGTATTGGCGTGTCACAATATCTTAGTCGAGCTTTATCACGTGCAACAATGACTCCTTCCCGATTGTCATGTTTCATTTATTACTTCCTTCATCCGATTTTGCTTGTTCACTTTTTAAAATAACTCAAACTCCCTCTTTGTCTCCCGAAAAATTTCTCACTTTTCCCTAACGTTCCATAAAAAAACATCCGGGTGGAGTATACCAGTTTGCAGCTAGATTTTTGTGGGGTTTCGTGTGTGTGTGTGTGGGTGGGTGGGTGGCTCTACAATATGCATACCTTCTGTTTCGATTGGCTTTCCGAAATAATAGTAAAAACGGCCTGGTAGCTTTGGAAGAATGATTGGAAGATGCACATCTTGGTTTGCAAGTTCCCCTTGCACATCATTCCTGCATTCATTCATTCCACACAGTAGTAAAATCTCATAAAAAGTGGAGTTTGGGGAGGGGGTGTGTACACTGTACACAGAGCTTATCCCTACTATAACTAGGTAGTAGAGAGACCCCCCTGGCTCAAATATGGAGGTACAGACAAAGAAACCATACCTCAAGTTCACTACCTCATCGGTTAGTTTCTGTATTGAATTCTTGAAATATGGGATCTTCATCAGGTCGTGGTAATCAAAGAGCAACTGCATGGAAGAACGAATTCCGTCATTACTCTACTTATTTGTGTTATTCTTGCATCTGTCGATACAAGAAAAAAAATGGTTCTGCAATGATGCAATCCTTTGCGTTTAGCCATTTTACAATTTTAGCTCATGATTTTCATTGGCTGAATTGTAACATAAAATAGTCGGCAAAGACATTTGCTCACTCATTACAGAGGAGCGACTAAACGCAAACAACTCAGGAATGACCAAAATTGCATTCTTTTTTAATTAGAAAAATGCAAACAACCGAGGAATGACCAAAATTGGCTTTAAAAAAATCCAACTAAAAGAATAAACAGAAATGCTTAAGACATACTTCACCAACATCATCCTCTCCAACAACGCCAAAAGGTACAATTTTGGCTCCAAATCTGGCTGCCATCCTCACAAATTCAGACTGTTCTGGCCAGAACAATTGGTATTCTTCACCCTGAAATTATGGACAACCAAATTTCTATTACCAAAAAAAACACAGATTTCTATAATCTCCTAATATCAACTCGTACGAAGAAAGAAAGATGTATGATGAAATATACACATTATTGCAAGACAGTTTCGGTTTGGAGCTCGATAAGAATGAAAAATACTCTATTCATCTCCAAATTAAATTTACACTTTCTTTCTTTTAAGACTTCTCACCTTTCCATTTCAAAAATAGAATATGTAGCTCACAATATTTCTCTTTCAATCAAATTCCTACCACACTTTTCAATACTCAACACTTTTCTTAAACTCAACTGAAGTCAAACTACAAATTTTTAATTTGGGGACGAAGGGAGTACTAATTTTCAAATGTAGGGCGAATTGAAGGACTTACCTTGCGGTGAAGAGCTTCCCGCATGCCACCTGGATAGAGTAGGACATGGGAATTGGAGGACATAAGTTTGAAGAAGTTGGAGGCGGATACAGGAACAGCACCCATATACCGGAATGGATCATATGATGATAATTCGGGTAAAGATCCCCCTTCTTTTTGTCTGGAGAACATCAGAGGATGACCTATCCCACGAAGAACAATCCCCTTCTCGAGCAAGAAACGAGACACTAAGGGAACCAGTTCAGTTCCCAGCATCATGTGATAGCCCACAACTAAAACAGGCCCTTCCTGTGGAATCCCAGCCAGGCCTTCCACAATCTCCCCGTTTCCCAAAGTCGAGACCATCACAGGATTGACAGCAACCTCAGTCCACCTAAAGATCAGATACAAGACACCTTAAGGAGCACTTAGGGGATGTTAGGAATTGCTTAGTAATGGTCCTTCTCTCAAATACACATTGAGAATTAAATAGTTTACTCAATAGTGTATGTTTAAAACATGAAATTAAAGGAAAGTTGGTGTTTTGGTCCTTCTACTGTTCAAAATCCCACAATGTAGTCCATTAATGTCAAAATGATGTCATTAAGGGTAGATTTGGTCAGAGAGGATGGAAAGGAGTGGAAAATTTAACTTGATGTGTGTTCTCAGTAGGAAGACATTGGAGGAGATGGCAGGGCAGGGAAAATAAATAGTACCATTCCCTGTCCTACACTCCAACCAAACACCCTAAGATTAACCACAATAAAAATAACTGGTTCATTTCAACATTCCCGAGCATCTTCAACAGTAGTACCTGAATGGCTCGTACACTTTTTGAAACTCTAAAGGTTTTGGCGGCAGGTAATCAGTGACGCAATCCCGGCGTGCTCCTCGTTTATAAATTCCGGATTTTTTTATGACACAAACTAAATCCATGTCATTTTCCTAGTCAGAGAAATAGTTCACGTTAACAGGTGCTACGTTTTGAGTAATATGTGCACCTTAACAATGTCTAAGACAAATCCATCACAATAATCAAGTCAACGAACAAGGTTGTGAATTGGCAATTTAGATATGCATAACATATAAAAATAGACTGAACTTCATAGTACCCATTTTAGCCACACAAAATTGTCCTACACCAATTGTTGTTTTTAAAGGAATTCAATGCATATTCTTTTACACGAATCTTCAAAAGCCGCTCATAAATCACCTGTAATGTACAATATTTGAAACAAGGATAGAAAGGGTTATTTTTTAATAAAATATGAGCAGTTGTGCACTATTTTAAAACGTCATTTATTATGGGACGGCGGCATGAAAATTAGAGTCAACAAATTTTCAAGTGTCAGGAAAGGAAATTAAATTCTTTGATTCTTTTACACCATTTTTCCATCATCTCCGATGGAGCCAAAATTTCACCATTTTTTGGCTTTGGGGTGTGATGGAATAAATCAAAATGGATCTTTAAACTGTCTGCGCTTCTTTAATTAATGAAGTAGCAGTTAGTCAAGCAATGCAACTTTCGACGTTGAGTCGGGGGTCTCTTTGGAAACAACCTCTCTACTTTCAAGTAGGGGTAAGGTACACACCCTCCCGAGACCCTACTCTTGTGGGATTTAACTGGGTTGTTGTTGTTGATTCTTTTACACTATGTTTGGTTCAAGGAATTTGGTAAGGGAAAGAAGAAAGTGATAATAAAAACAATTTTTCTACATCAATTTATACACTTGGAGACAACATAGCCTTAATTTTCTAAAATTAGTCTACATAGAAGGATAAAGTCTATCTTACCAAGAAAAGGGCATGACCACTATCACTAAATTGTCTGATGTCACAATTTGGTAAAACACGGCGAAGTCTTTCACCTTCCTCTTGACTGGGTAGAAATTCATCATTTCCGCTGCATAGAGAGATAGAGAGAGAGAGAGAGAGAGAGTTTTCAGACCTTCACTCTTATAACAAGGGTATAATTTACTTTTCGAAAAAGTACCTAGAAAGTATCAATGTTTGGGCTTTAACAGCATGCAGCCGAGAATTAACATAAGCTGCAGCTGAGTGAAGCATCTTCAGCCTCCAAATTAGTGTTTCTACAGGTAAGACATCAGCCAGCACCTGTGACCTTTTCCATCATTCTTCATTGTTGTACCATAAAATAAAATGGTATAATAACGCATATCAACAAATGATGATACCATTCAATCATTTCAGCTTCTGTTTTGACCCAACTGAACTGAATCAACCTACCCATGCCCACTCAAATATCAAATCGTATTTCATTTGGTTTTAGTTTGGTAATGTTTTTCGTAGACCATATTAATACGAACCAAATCAAAACAAACTGTGCTTGGTTTTAAGTCGGCAGTCATTCTCCCAACCTGTTTTCCACCAAATGAAATTGAAAACCGCAAAAACTTACAAACTGAAATCAAAATATCTATCCCTAGATAAAATAGATTCACCTGGGACCAAGATCTTGGCCAAAAATATGGATATGAGGAATAAATGATGGGAAGAACTACGTAGTTGTAATGACCAAGTAATCTCAAGATTTTGGGTCTTACAGAGACATAGGA